CTGCGGGATGCCTGCTTCTCCCTCTCCACTCCCCCTGCTTGTGTTCCCTCTCTCGCTCTCTCTCTCTGACAAATAAATAAATAAAATCTAAAAAAAGAAAAAAAAATGATACTGTTCTTAATTATATGCTTATACTCCCAATTCAACAGTGCAACTTAAATGTCCCACAGGCATCTCAAAATTAAGTTTTGAAGTTCTCCCAGTCTTTCACATCTCAGATAACGATACAGCACAAAAGAGAAACTGAGGTGGGGAGCTTAAGTGATGATGCTTACCCCTTTAAATCCCCAAATCACCAGTCTTGTCCCTTTTATTTTCATTTACATCAATTCAATTTTCAAAATCACCATAAACAATCCTTTTACCAGTAACCATCATACCATCGTTCCTTTCCAGAACTACTGCACTAACCTGTCAGTTGGGTCTCCCAACTTCTACTCCAACAATCCTACAGTTTATGATCCACTTAAAAGCCAAAGTGATCCTCTAAAAATCATCATGACTCACCTGCTGAAAATCATTCAATAGATTCCCTTTGGTAAAATTAAATCCAAGCTCTTTATAATGGTTTTAAGGTCCTGAATAACCTGCCCTTGCTTATCCAACCTCATTATCATAATTATTTCCCCTTACACATTATATTCAACAACAGTCTGCTTCTACTTTCTTTAATGTCATATTCTTTCCAACTTCAAAGCTTACATCCTATGTTCCTTCTACCTAGAATATGTCCTTCCAATTATCATCTGATTAGCTGATTCACGATCCTGAGATGCCACCTTTCAGAAAGACCTCATATTCCCCCTCTATCACATTACTTACTTGCATAGGATTCATCACTCTGTTTCTTTTTGTGACACCTTCTCCAAAAACTCAAATATAATGGGACAATAGGCACTCAAATCTTTGCAAATGAGTGAGAAAAAGTATAAAGAACTCATAAAAATTGCCAAAAAGTACAATCTTAGAACTCCCAACAGTTCACACTCCAACTCTAATCAATACAATTCTTTCTCCATACTCTTAGGTTTCCTTCTTAGACTGAGACTTAAATGTCACCTCCTCCTCAATTGGGCCTTCTATAATCCCATATTTAAAATTGTGACCCATCCTCTAAAACTCTCAATTCACCTTTGCTGCAACTTTTCTCTGTAATACTTACGACTTCCTGATGAACTGTATCATCTACTTATTTATTTGATACAGAGACTGCACAAAAAGAGAATTTTTTCTTCCCTGCTATATCCCCAATGCCTAGAACATAATATCTTTGTATATCTTTGTTGACTGTGTATGGTGGGATACCATGTAACCACTGTTAACCTCTATATATTCATGTAAAAGAAAAAAAAAAAAGGTCCAGGAGAATCTGGCTGGCTCAGTTAGTTGGTGGAGCATACAACTCTTGATCTAGGTAGTGGTTTTGAGTTTGAGCCCAATGCTGGGTGTAGGTATTACTTAAAAATAAAAAAAAATTTTTTAAAAAGGCCCAACATGGGGTGCCTGGGTGGCTCAGTTGGTTAAGCGACTGCCTTCGGCTCAGGTCATGATCCTGGAGTCCTGGGATCGAGTCCCACATCGGGCTCCCTGC